TCTACAGTGCGTCACATTTGCCCCGTTGGGAATCACCCGTTTGGAAACTGCCAACAAGTAAAGCCTCTGCAAAGACCTCTGAAACCCCTCCGTGCTTGGGATTTGGGGCTTGGAATTGTTCCCCATGAACGAGGAATTCCCAGGAACGGCCTCATAGCGCCTGGCGGGTAGGCAGCATCTTGCCTGCAGTGCATGCGTGTACTGCAGGGTGGCCTACACGGTGTCTCGCAGGCGCTAAGCTCCCGGAATGTGCCGAATTAATATGAGAAAAAAGGACGTATTTTCTGGACGATCCACATACCCATCAACTAGTTCGTTCAACAGAAGTAAACGTCATGGTGACTAACTGGCAGTGATGGCACAGTAGAGAGGACTAAGATTCGGCCAATCCTTAATGAATCTCTATTACTTTGGGATGAGTGGGTGGGATGGACTAAACTAAATTACTGCCAGCTCATAGCCGGGTTGTCTGCAGCTTCCGCGGGGGAAGGACCGCGCCGCCCCACCATGCACCCGCACCATCACGAACACGTGAGTCGCCTCGACCAGCATTGAGGCTTTTCTCCAACGACTCTCATCAGTAGGACTGCCGTTGGTCCAGATCCACGTGACACTCGTGACCGCGACGCTACTCCATGGCGCGGCGGCGGCGGGCCCCGCGCCCCAAGCAGAGTTCTGGCCGCGGGGTTGTCAGCTGATAAGCCGCAATGGATGAGATAAACGTGTATCGCAAATGCAACGCGTTCCTTCGGGCACTTGCCATGATCTAGGGACACATTTTGGTGATCTGGTGCCATTACATTACAGGAAGGACTTAAGAAAAGTGGAATATAATTACATGGTGGATCCCAACTGCAATTGACGTAGTTTAATATCTGTGAAAGCTATCAGTTAATGAGAAATTATGATGAGAAAACGTACCACTGAAACACCCTGCTGGGATGATGATTCGCCTCTCCCACTGAACGGTGGGGAGGATTAGTTTACAACCCTCGTCCAAATCTGTTGTCAGGTATCTGTTGGGATGTACAAGGAATAATGCTCGTAAAAATTGAACGGAAAGTCATAGACGATATGCTAAGGTTTTTGTTTGTTATGTGTAAAGAAATGGAAGTGAATATAGAGTTTCTTTGCAGTCATACAAATAGAGTTGTAAAACAGGTCATGGAGAACATGAAAAAACAGTTTAATTAACCAATTTGTATTAAGAGAAAATATGATATGCATAAAAATATCAGGGAAACTACTAGTTACTTGATACTGTACAAAAGTCATACAAGAAAGAAATGTGTGCAGGTAATTTGTCAGCACTACTATTCTACTTTCATTTTCTGCCTAATCAACAATATTAAGATGGCACTCGAATAAACATATTACATATCAATACCACATCATTAGGATGAATTTAGAGAGCTACTGCACAAAACGTAAATTATTAGTTGTCTCATTAGACTTGTTTCTTGACAAGTACGAGGATTGTGGTCAGGTGTTTTTAAGGTTAGGTGGTCCATCGTCATAGTCCACTTTAGTTCAGAACTTGCACTTTCAACCAACAAGTGTGACGTACTTACTCGTACATACCTTTGTGCCTTGGAGATTAGAAGACAGCAACCTTCACGCAGTGTCCAACGGCAACAATCCATCGAACTTAATACATCAGCACAAAGCAATCCTCGTAGTTTCGAAATGCTTTACAAACAACAGCAGAACGACACATATGTAACGAATCCACACACACACTGGCAGCAGACGTGTCCGGTCCAACAGGCACTCATTCACTGACAACGCGACGTGTACGCCGTGTTTGTACCGTAAGGCTAAGTGCTGCGATATCACGCACACGCACAAAAAAAGAGCGGGACGAGTGAATTACTTCAAGTGCCAGCCAGGCTCGCGGGTCCCGTAGTCCCCGTCGCGATCGCGACTCTTCATTTAAAGAGAGAACGTGACATAGGCAACCCGTGTAACAGCTGATGCTGCACTGCCAACCTCACAGCCGCAAAAAGTAAGAGCGATGGAAACAGTTCCCTGTTTCAAGATAAGAATTTAGAAATTAATTCAAGAATTTCTTCGAGAAATGTTGGCACAAAAAGCCCCTTGAAGAATATCTTCGTTCGGCATACATTTCTCCCTATGACTTCAGTGTTTTAGTAAGAACTGGTTAATTACTTCCGTAAAACAGCTATCTTGATTAAAATTGTTCAACAACCTTTCCAGTTCTGTTTTGACTTGGTTTGTTTCTTTAAATGACCCTGGTAACATGATGAATGTTCTACATTAAAACTTAAATGTGGTGTTACTCCTGTCATACACTCCATGTCTGATGAACGCAAGGGCAACAATAAAAACAACTTCTTGAAATTTTCTGATTTTTTTTTATTAAGCGACAATCTTATTGGATCTATGACTGGCCGGTCTTGCGGGCAACAGGCTTGCCACCTTCACGGAATCCATTCCTGAATGACACAAAACAGGAACAGGTGAGCGACTAAAATTTTGATCAATACAACAGATCGGTAAACCTGAGATGCAGGGAACAAGATAACAGAAGTCACCATGTTAATGCATGGTGATTTCAGGTTTGTTGTTCCCTGCCTTCTTCCTCTTACATTTACCGGAATGCGAACTAGAGATAAAGAAAAGACAATACTAACCTGAAACGCCTCCTGACAATCTTAAGGTGCCTCATGCGGCCAGTTCCAGTGGTCTTCCTCCTCTGGGCCTTGACAGACCAGTTGACTGCAAGAGAACACACACGTAAGAGAGGAGCTTGGAATTTGAGAAATAGGGCAACAATAATGGAAAGGAAACTCACAGTGACGCAGCTTAGCTGATGGGTATCCACACTGTCCGCATTTGGACTTCTGGATGTGGTATGATGATCGGCCACAACGACGGCACAGTGTGTGCGTCTTATTGCGGCGCTTTCCAAAGCTTGATGTACCCTTAGTCTGTAACACGCACACAAATGAAATTAAGAATGTAACACAGCACGAATGAACAGAGAGACAAGCACAGATATGGGTTGCAGATGTAAACAAGAGACGAAACTGCATCAGCAATTGAAACAACAGGGAGCTAGATAATTGCACTCATAAAATTACAGAACTAGATATTTTAAGTGCAACACTGCAATTCACAGGTACAATAAGATAAAGAAAAGTAAAAGGGATGGCAAAAAGAATACGTATAATTTCAACAGGACTACATATTGTCCACTGTGAACAAGACGAAACGTACAGGGGAGCACAGAAAACCGATAAAATAAGAAGATTCACAAATTATGCCAATATCTCCGTCTACCTAAGGTTAGTCGGCAAGTAGGCAGGTTAGGGCATGAACAACAACAATTCGTTTCACCATTAATATTCACAAAACTGAAAAATTTGAGTTTACGATGTCCAATGCCACAGATTAATACAATTCGTCCAAAGAAAGAGATATATATACGATTGGCTCTTTTATAGCTGGAAGACCACATGAGGGTCCGGCCCGCTTCGGAGCAACACCAAGATTTCTGAAGATTTCTTCACTTAAATACCATCTCTACGAGTGATTTCTAGTCACCAAAATCTCGAAGAAGAATTTCCAGATGTGCAGGAAAAGCTTACCATAACGATGGTTCTTCGCTACAAAGATAAAATAACTTAGACTATCCAACTCACCATTTTGGGATACGAATGTTTAGGAAGGAAACACACTGAAAGAAAGACAGCCTTGTCGAAATATACTTAAAACGGAAACGTTGAGCCGGGGTAGGAAGAAGTGCTACCAACCAACTCACAGTAAATCATACAACGGGATTCATTTAATATGTTATGTTTGTTGACAAGAACTGAAAAAGAGAACTCACATATTAATCACACAAAAAATATTGCATTTTTGTTTCGTTTCAAGAAGATGCTCATTTGGGTTTTGTGAAGTGCATTATTATTTTGAAAGCGAAGGGTGGTTATGTGGCTAAACAGGAAAACCGGTGCTAACAGTCATTTGTTGAAGCGCGAAATACTTAACTTTTAAAACGGCGGTTCAGAGCTGCCTTATTTTTTTTAATTTTTCTTTACCTAATTTGTAATTTTGTTCGTATTCCGTTAAAACAATTCTGCCATTTTTGTTTCTACTACTGCTGCTGGCCCTTCTCACACCTTTTTCTTTGAAATAACGAAAGAACCGGGCCGGGAATACCTGCACTGCATTCTTCCAGTGCTCAGTGAGAGTGACAGAGAAAAACATATTGGCTTCTCTCACTCATGTTAGCGGTGTGTCAGCATTGTTGACGAAACTAGTTTTTTGCCAAATAAAAATAAGACACGTACAGATCTTAGTTAGAAAGGTTGAATGATTTGCATAGTTTGGAGTGTAGATTATTCTTTTGTGCACCGTGAGTGAAAGTCTCTAAGTTCACGTCATGTCGGAATACAAACTCAGCTGTGCCCTGTCAGGACATTCTCTGGACGTTCGAGCAGTCTGTGCAGCCGGGGATGAAACCATTATTTCGGGTTCTCGTGATGCCACGGCAAAAATTTGGAGATCAAATGGGTAACTTTAATTTCCACTTCTTGAATCTTTATCACTCGCTTACCTTGACTTGTTTCTCATCACCTAACCTCTTAAAGAATAACAGTTCATTTATGTCTTCTTTTGCTTTGTACTTGACATTGTATTCTCATATTTCTCTAGTTGGTTTTGTCTATTAATTTTTTTTTTGTAAAGTTTCTTTCAATTAGTTCAAGTAGCTCCTTGTCCGTTTTCCTTTTGCAATTTTCTTGCTACGCATCCGTTATTGAGCAGTTATTGTAGGTTGTATTATATGGCTACCAACCTCCGTTATGTTCCAGGGTAAATCCAGGTTACCATGAAGCTCAGACTCTACGTGGTCATACAAATTTTGTGACTTGCGTTTGCTACTGCCCTCCATCCAATGCCTATCCAAATGGCATAATTTTAACATCTGGGAATGACAAGAATATATGTGGCTTCATAGCTGAACAGGAGTCCCCCCTCTTTACACTCAAAGGCCATTCAGAAACAGGTGAGATACAAATATAATATATGGTAAAACCAAATAGGGTTGGTGCCTCATTATTTTTAAAAAAAATAATATTTATACTTTTGCTTTGTTTGCAGTGTGCTGCCTAAGTTTGGGGATAGAACCTGGCACATTTTTGAGTGCATCCTGGGACAAAACTGGGAAAGTATGGAATTACACATCTGGAGAAATGGGAACAACTTTTAAGGGCCATGACCTAGCAGTTTGGGGTATTATTGAAGTGTCAGCTGGTGTGGTGATAACTGGAGCAGCTGACAAAACCATAAAAGTTTGGGAAAAACACTCAGGAACTTGTCAGTCTACATTAACTGGTAAAGCAACAACTGTTTTTGTCATTTCAAGTCCTTTACAATCCTTTTATATAATGTATTTTTTATTCTTATCTTCGACATTTTTATTGTTTCAGGGCACACAGATTGCGTAAGGGGACTAGCAAGGATAAATGATCACGAGTTTTTGTCCTGTGGAAATGATGCCACAGTTCGTCATTGGTCTACAACCGGGGACTGTTTGAGTATTCTTTATGGTCATTCAAACTATATTTACAGGTTTGTACCAATAAATAAGCTTCATCTGATTATTTATTTTATTTCATTGTTTTAACGTGTTGACACAATTTTCTTTACTATTCATCTAGCATAGCAATAGGACCTGATGGTTGTGGCTTCGCCTCAGTTGGAGAGGACAGCTCATTACGTGTCTGGAAGGATTCAAGTGTTGCTCAAGTGCTTTCGCTCCCAGCTCAAAGTGTGTGGAGTGTTTGTTTCCTACCAAACTCTGATATTGTAACTGGATCAAGGTAAATATTTAAACATGTTGTTTGGTGTTTATCACTTAATGAAAAGGAAAATACTATAGTTCTGTGAATTTGCACTTGTTTAAAGTGATGGAGTTGTCCGAGTCTTCTCTAAAGACCATGCCCGGCAGGCTAGTGAGGATGTGCTAAAGTGTTATGAGGAAGAGATTGAAGCAATGTTCAAAGTTTCTTCACAGGAACTGGGAGGAGTCAAAATTAGCGAGTAGGTGTCAAAATTGATAGGAAAAGAAATTGAAATATATTGAATTTATTCAATATGTTTTTTTTACCTAATGAATTTGAATCTGAAGTTTGCCAGGTAAAGAAGCACTGTATGAACCTGGTAAATCTGATGGCCAGACTAAGCTGGTCCGTGAAGGCACTCAAGTCACTGTCTACAGTTGGTCAGCCACACAGAAAGAGTGGACCAAGGTGGGAGATGTTGCTGGCGCCAATGAAGAAAACTCAGGAAAATCATTGCATCAGGGCAAGGTAGGAATGCTTACCTTTCTCGTAAAAGTTGAAGATTATTTCACACCCCTTAAGTTTACTCTACTCTTTTTCTGTTTAGGAATACGATTATGTATTTAGCATTGACATTAAAGATGGAGTTCCTCCTTTGAAATTACCTTACAATCTTAATGAGGACCCTTGGTTTGCCGCTCAAAAGTTTATTCATGATAATGATCTACCTCAAGCATACCTTGAACAAATTGCAAATTTCATTGTGACAAATTCAAAGAAAACAAACCAAGCCACAGTCACCAGTGCCCCAGCTCAACCGGAATTTTGTGATCCGTTTACAGGTCATTACTTGCAGATTAAAAATGACTTCTCATAGCCCTATTCCCATTTCAACTTAAAAAATTAATGCTTGTAATTTTTATCTAGGAGGAAATCGTTATATTCCTGGAGGTTCACAAAGTGTCCTACCTCCACGTCCTCCTGTGACAATTACGGCCTCTGGTAATCTTGATCCACTCACAGGTGGAAATTCATATGTACCAAATGGTGCCTCAGGTTTGTAAACACTTGACCCTTTGAAGACAAAAACAATACAACTAACCATAAAATAACCGGTTTTCTTTTTTTAATTTCTTGTAGACACAAAAAGCATGATTGAGAACTCTCTCTCTAAGCTCCATTTTCCTCAGAAAACATATCTTCGTTTTGAACAAGCTAATCTGAAAGCAATGTTAGGTGAGTACTTTAATTAATTATCACTGCAGGAACTGATTATGAATTGAATTATCTTCCTTACTTTGATTTCATTTAAAATGGTTTCAGATAAATTGCAAGAACTCAACAAAAAGTTGGGTGATGGATCTCACCAAGTTCATGAGGATAGTTTAGGAGATATTGTAAAACTAGCAGATCCACAGAACACTCCTGATCCAAGTTCAATCTCCACCTTACTGAAAATGTTGGACTGGCCTCAAGGTATGGTATTTTGTTGTACTACTTTTGCAACTTTAATGGGTTATTTTAACTTAAAGAATCAACAACTATTCATTTTTTTATCTTTTCTTATTTTACCATATATTAGATCTAGTTTTCCCAGTTCTGGATGTTACAAGATTAGCAGTTCGACATGCTGATACAAATCGTGAACTATGTGATGGCAAGTCTGGAGAACTATTAATGTCGAAGCTGCACTTATATCTCCAGCCAGCTCCTGGGCCAAATCAAATGTTATCATTGCGAGTTCTTTGCAATATGCTGTCTCATGTTCATGGAGAGGCGTTGGTTAGTCATAATGCTACTTCTCTTCTGCAACATGTTGATCAATATATTCCACCCTTTTCAAAGCCTTTTGAGGTAAGTGATGGAGATGCTTTTATAATACAGTGAGATCAGCTGTAGGTATTTTCTCTTTTTTTATGTGATGGTGTTTCTGTCTATGTCAGGTTGCAATTTCAACTCTTTTACTCAACTTCAGCGTCTTGTACACTAAAAAGTCTGAGCTACTAGCAAATATTGATGCTGTAGGAAATACTTGCCTACACACTTTGCCTCGGTTCTCAGACAAAGAGGCTATCTACCGGACTCTAGTGGCCATTGGAACTCTTCTTTCTCAGAAGGTTCAGCGTTTACCCAGCTGGGCTGAAGAATTGTGGCCTCATATCATTAGCATGTCGGAGAGTGATGATAGTAGAATTCAAGTTTGTGCTCAGCAAATATTAGCTATTGGGAGCTGATTGATGTTTTAATATGAAATGTACCGTGAATATGTAAGAGCTGATTAGTGCTGTAACTGCTTTAAATTGACCGTTCACAAAGTCTTGCTCTCTCACATACAGGAGAAAGCTATATCAGGAAGAGATATGCTTCATTTAGTCCTCCAATTATAATTGGAAACCAGTATGAAACGTGTTCATAATGAGCAGCACTAACTAAATTTTGTGATTTTTAAACACACCTAGTTATTTATGAAAAATGATGTTAGTCTAACTTGCAAATAGGTGTAGGATTGTTTTACTGGAATTTAATTCCACACTGAAGTGTTGGAATATTCTGATACAAACTTTGTGAAGATTGTCATTTCTAATTTGCCACACTATCACACCTGTGATATTGTTGTACAGAATTAATTATGGCTTAGGAAAATGTATATACCTCTATTGTTAATATGATTGTGTTAATACCTGAAATAAAAGGCTTTAAATTCACCTTGCCTGCACTGTGACTGCTAGATTTCCTACCATTTTTATGAGTGAATAAATTATTTCGATCTTCCATGATTGTTTACTGTTTCCCTTTTATGTCTCTCATGAGTAGGGATTGAGTTCATTGTATGCTTAACAGTATGGCTGATTAAAACTTTGAATGACATATTTTTAAAATGTATATTGATTTTCCTACACTAGAACAATACTTAGTTTCTCATACCTAACATGTCGCTTGCTTCTTTGGACTGCTTAACAAGACTTTCGCTAGCATATTTCTCTAATAGCTCTTTCTTCCTCCTCTCAAGTAGAGCTTGTTCAACTTCTTTCTGGGAAGGTGATGGAACATGGGCTATAAACCTTGGCTGGAGAGCTCTTTCACTTTTGCTTTGGTCCGAACTATCCTCTTCAGATGACTGAAAAAAAAAGGTATGTAAAATAGCCTGTTGAATGTTGGGGAAATTATGTCTAGCACGACAAACTTACATCACTTTCAGCAGCAACGGCATATATATTTTCTTCTTGCTCTTCATCCACTTTACTGCTCTCTCCTTCCATTGATTCTGCCTTCTTCGCTTTCCACTCACTGACAGCTTTTGCTATAGCTACAGGAAGCATAAGTGTAAAATTTAGCATTGCTCACCAAGTATACAATTTACAACTATAAATTTCTCAAATACCTTTCTTTTCAGCAATTTCTTCAAGAGGCAACAGGAGTCCATCATCATCGTCTCTGTAGCCGTAGTAATCAGCATCAATGTCTTTCATCAGCTCACCTCTTGTTTTGCGTGGAGGCGCTGGAGGTTCTTGCTCAAATAGCTCTCTCACACCTGAACAAATTCAGCAGTAGTAGAAAAATTGTATGAAGGATACCTTCCACTGAGCATGGAATTTGAGATTTCACCTACCTGGAAGTTCTTTAGCTGCTCCAAAGTATTTATATCCCCTATTTCCTGGTACTTCCCTACCTTCATGATCCAACATCCGTGGACCAACTCTTCGATAGTCTGGTCCACCAAGATCTTTGATCTGAACTTCCCAATGACCCTTTTCCCTAAGCAACTTATTAATTTCATCGTTTAGATCTCTTATACGAAACTCTCCAAGACCAGCTAGAAAAAAAAAATACACAGTGAATACAGTAGGACTAGGATTCATACAAATATGCAACTGCTCTCAATCATTTTACCATTTTGAATTTGAGCCACCTTTTTGGCTACTTCTCTGATAATTTGCATGCGCCATTTTTCAGCTTTTGGGAGATCATTACATTCTGATGCAAGGTATGGTCTCCTCTCCTGTTTATTAGGTTCATCTCCTACTTGAGCTGCTCGCCAACGAGCCAGCGTTGTCCTAAAAATATAGTTAGAACGGTTTATAACATAGAAAACAAACAAAGCTTAAATAAATTGAGTATAAGATGTCAAAATTGATTATTAACATAGTATTAGAAAACTTACATAGCCTTCTCCGCATTTCGAGCCTGCAAACAATCAGATAAAATTATTAGATGTCAAAGTTACCGTACTACTTGATTTTAATCTTAATATTTTGTTACTAAATTTATCCTAGATAGAGAAACCCCTAATAATCACAAATTCCCTAATTATTTTAAGTTTACATGCAAAACAGGAGTAATACTAGCGGAATCATTCAAAAAAGTCAACAAGGACAAGACAACAGAAACACTAGTTTTTCACATTGATTGTTTGCTTCCAAAATTACGGATAGCCGCAAATTAAAGTCATCCAAAGAAAAACATTGCTATCCTTTTTTCTAACGTAAAGAAGGGAAATAAAGTTATTTGACACTTGTTTATTGGTTGTCATTTATTGGTTGTCATATCATAACATCTGTTACTTCATTCATTCGACATGAGGGATACAAAACCCGTTTTCAGAAGTTGGAGAGTTTTGAATATAAGAGTAGTGTATATATACTTTAGAAACACACTAAATGCGGATTATGTGTTAACGTCAATATGCCGAACACGAATCGGTTTAGGTTAGGAAAACCTCAAAGTCTTGCATAGAGGGAGTTCATATCATTCTTAATCCATAAATTAAAATCATGTTGGCGTATTTAAAAAAAATTGTTTAAACGCATGTCCATTGAAAATAAAATGTACACGATACGTACCATTTTGAACTGCGACTTTAATTCCGAGTGAGGTCTGTTGTGTTTCTATTTGTATTTTTCCGATATTTTTCTTCTGCCGCTTACGTTCTATGCCGCCAACCTCTCGGCTTTCATTTAGTAATTCGAGCAACTGTTGATCGAGATTAACTCACAGTGAAATACTAATCAAATTGGTTTTCAAACAAATTTAATAAGAATTTTGTTTATTGAGAATATATTTAAACGATTCATATTGTTAAATCATTATAAACATTTGACGGGTCAGCGCTGCCCAGCCTGTCTGTGTTTTGTTTCCGTTCCCAGCCCTCGAACACGCCGGTCGCTCCGCAGATCGGCACAGGCCGTCTCCTCCCTCTGGCTCTCATGGCTCGCTGACTTGGGCCGAGTTGAAACTTGTACGGTTTCCTTAACGTTTGACAAGACTCGTGAATGAACTCAACAATCTCCAACACCTGCTTCCAGGTCGTCGTATGACATCATTGAAAGGGAAAAAGGAACGACTCTGATTTTGGAAGAGTAAGTGAGTGTTTTGTGTGACTTGTCAAATGGTTCGTAGTTGGTTCTTGAACGTTTTTGAGGTGGACGAAACTGTCCGGTGTTTTTCTGGCGCAGGTAACCGTCGCCAGCTCGTAACGTTTCGCAACCATGACTCTTCAGGCCGCTTCGAAACAATTTGGTGCTGTCGTCACTGCCTCCAGCGCCCCTAAACATGTATGTTGACTCTTTTCAATGTTCTATTTTGTGTAAATCCCCCACCGTGTGCGGGGGGATTTGAGTACTAGAAGAACGACTCATTTGTTGAGACTTTTATTGACGACAGGAGTCGCTAGGCCGGGCCCCACCACAGCTGAAGGACGGCGTTCACACTTTCCTCTCGTTGGCCAAGATGCACCCCGAGCTGCACCCCGCAGTGCTGGCTGCTATCTTGGGTAGGTACTGCCGACAGCCGGCGGGTTGACTTGCCCACCCTCCCCTTGACCTTGTCGCTTGTCCTGTGGATGTGACTGACCCCGTCGCGTGTCTGTTCGCTACAGCACAGCCCGCGTCCGAGCGCCAGGCCCTGCTGCAGGCGGCGAGCGGTGCTGCCCAGCAGCCCTGCAGCCCACCTGCCTCGCAGCAGGCCAAGGGCGCCAATGGCTTGACGCTGACGCCTTCCTCGGACTGCTCGGACGACGTGTGGGAGGACGCCGTGGAGAGCCTGGACCGCGACCCCAAATCCCAGGTGCAGTGAAATGCTTGCTGAAACGGGCGTTTGTTCTCTGTCCGTCATTTCTCGTGTTTGATCGTGATTGCTCTTTTATGCTCGTAGGCGCGCCCCGCCTCAGCAGGGACCCCTTCGGGGACAGCCCCGTCGGTGCCCATGGCCTCGGTGGTGGAGGATGCCCCCTCGGAGCTGCAGAGGCTGGAGCAGGAGGCGGCGGACTGCCACCGCGCCTGGCAGCAGAGCAGGCAGCTGGTGCACTGGACGCGCTACAACGACTGCCGCAACAGGATGGCGCAGCTGAAGCGGCGCAACTCGGAGGACCCCGACACCCCCGACAGCAGGTGCGTGGGACGGGTCGCACTATTGCATCCCCCCCCCCTTGTTTTTCGGCGTTTTTCTGATTGTTTTTGTCGCTCAGGTTCGCGCAGCTGCAGGCGCAGCGGGAGGTGCACGAGCGGCGGCTCGTGGAGCTGGCCAAGCGGCGGGAGCGCCTGCGCTGGTCGCGGCGCTACCACGAGCAGACGCGCGCGCACCACACGCAGCTGGCGCAGGCGCAGCTGCAGGAGCGGCTGCGCGAGCTGGAGGAGCGGGCGCAGCTGCGGCGTCTGCAGCATCTGCAGCGGCTGCAGCAGCTCGTGTCCGAGCTGTCCATCATGGACCAGGAGGACATGGAGGAGAGGCAGAGGTCCACCACGACCAGGAGGAAGATTGACGCGCCCAAGCCGGTCGACTCTTCCGTGGACGAGTTCACTCACGTCTGGGATGACTTCTCTCACTGGGAGAAGATGGTCAGCGACGACGTCAAGGAGAATGAGGACCCCGCCGACGCGTCCACGGTGCCCTCTCAGAGCCCCGTGGGCACCCGGCGGCCCGACGTCCCGATGCTCGCCAACCAACCCGACCTCATCCCCGTGCTCCCGCCGGTGCCCGGCCAGGCCGGGCCCTGGCGCACTACCAGGTCGAGCAGCTGCAGCAGCATTAGCAGCGGCGGTCAGCGGCGCAGCCCCGACTCTGGCTTCGAGGAGAGGAAGAAGTGGTTTGAGGAGGCGCTGCTCTCTTGGCACGCGCAGGATGACGAGGAACACTTTGGCACGTCGCTGTACCCGTCGTCGTACGTGCGCGGGCGTGCCCAGGACCGCGCCGGGGAGCGCGCGCCGCAGTGGTCCCAGGCGGCGTGGAGCGCTTGGCAGGGACCTTCCTACACGATTCATTGAGCTCTTGCTCTGTTTTCTGGTCAATCGTTTAGACTGAATTTTTTATTGGTCAGAAAATGTATTTTAATTTGTTTTTCTTACCTAGTTGATGTGTTTTTAATGAGTGGCTTTTAACTTCAAGACTGAATTATGAATTGATAATCATTTTTTGGAACTTCAAAGCTTTACAATTTTATTGTCAGATTTGTGTAATTTTTAAATCTTGAATTTGTGTAATGTCATGTAATTTTTTCTTATGAAATACTTATAATTAACGTTGTCTCTGACATAATTATTAGATTACCCTCCATATTGACTTTAGTGGCGACTTGTCACTTTAATTGTTTTAATTTAATGTTGTGTGAAACACGAAAGTTGTCCAACTTTTGGGCTTGTATAGATCAAGTCATTCAAGTTTCAGATGTTTAAAAATGAAATAAAATATTAACTTTTTAACAAGTTTGGTGAGTTCATTGGGACAGAGTACAATAATCCGGGCTATGAAAGTCGAAACAATTAAAATGCCACTCTGTAGTTGTCTCTCTCGGCATGTGAAGCCTTCTGCGCCAGTTATGATAAACCCACGGAGTAATGTGTGTGTCCCCCACCCCTCTGGTGGTTCGTGGCCACAGAGCGCGCGTGTGTGTGTGTGGGAATACATCACTGCCGACAGTATGAGTACATGGTGAGCCCGACACACATGGCCGCGCCGGGAGAGTATGGACCCGCGGCGCGTCCGGGCGCCATCCTGCCATCCTCATTACGCCCCCAACCCTCTCCCTCCACCGACCTCCTGTGATTATCCGCCTGATTTGGGTCCAGACCTTCCAGACCTTGGCCCAGTGGCCTGGTTCGCTTCGCGCCCCGCTCCGTATGCGGCAGTGGCCGCGCTCCCCGCCGCGCCCCCGCACCCCCGCGCGCACTCAAACACACGCGCGCACCTGTGGTGGTGACGTCCGACCCCGGCCCGCTCCCGCTCCTGTGCGCAATCCGCCTTGGGGACGACCGGGATCCTCCCGCACTCGACGCACGCCCCGCGCCCCGGTTTCTTTGCACCATGATGATTCTAATGTATTTTTTTTCTTTTTCGTGTTTCCAGGCTGCCGCGCGCGCGTCGTGGGTGCTGGTTGAGAGACGGGCGAGGACTTCCGGGCTGGTACCTTTTCGCTCTGCGCTTCCGGCTCGAAGGATGCGGCCCTGCCGCCGCCTCCGGAGGAGGGGCACACCTACACGCCGCGCCGCCCCGCATCCGCCGTCATCCGGGTCCCCTTGGCGGACAACACTGCAAGACCCAACGAGGTGTCAGTCCAGGTGATTCCGTCGCTTCAAATCCAGACACCCCCCACCCTCCTCCCCTTAACTAGAGCTCTACACGTCCGCATCACCTGGCGTGACATGATGACAACCTGTCGCCGCCCCCGCAGCGTCACCCTCTCTCTCTGTTCCACGGGAAGCTCTCGCTGTCTCTCGCCTCGCCTGCCCCTCTCCTAGGGACTGCGGTGGACAGCCCTCATCTGCTCTGCACCCCGTCCCCGTTCCCCCTCCCCTCCTCGGGTCCTCTCTCATGCTCAAAAAACATTGCAAGAATAAGAGGCAGTCGTGCCCAGGCCGGTCGGGCCGGGCCGGCACTGTGTCCTGTCCTCGGCAGGACGCCCCTTCTTCCCCCTCCCTCCCCCTCACCCATATCAACCCTTTCTGCTCTCTTCTCTCGGAAAATATACCAACACGGGCTTACCCCCGCCGCTGCGCGACCCAGTCTTCCCTTCTGTTTTTTTCTCCCTACCGTTCTGTTCCCAGCTCAGCTGGTCCGGCTGAAACGGCGTCCTTATTAGCCCCCATCCCCCGGCATTGGTCCCGCACGGGTGTGCTGTGCTTCCCTGCCTCTCTCCCTGCCCCCCTCTCCGCCTCCTTCCCTTACTTCCTTCTTTCCCTCACTGCCTCCTCTGCTCCCGCCTCCTCCCCCTCCTCGTCCTCTCCTCCTCCCTCTCCCGCTCTGTCCTTTCAACCCTCCCTTCTTCCTCCTCCAATCACCCCTCTGCCTTCACTCCTCTCCCTTCACTCCTCCCCCTTCACTCCTCTCCCTTCACTCCTCTCCCTTCACTCCTCTCCCTTCACTCCTCTCCGTTCACTCCTCTCCCTTCACCCTTCTCTCTTCACTCCTC